CCATTGCATATTATGAATTAAATTGCAGAGTGGGTGAAGTCTTTCATTGTCATTCTCATTCTGTTATTGTGGATGGCTTTACCAATCCAAGCAACAATTCTGATCGTTTTTGTCTTGGACAATTGTCCAATGTAAATCGTAATTCTACTATTGAAAATACAAGAAGACATATAGGCAAAGGAGTACATTTATATTATGTAGGCGGTGAAGTTTATGCAGAATGTCTTTCTGATTCTGCTATATTTGTGCAATCTAGAAATTGTAATCATCATCATGGATTTCATCCTAGTACAGTTTGCAAGATTCCACCAGGATGTTCATTAAAAATATTTAATAACCAAGAGTTTGCCCAATTACTTTCACAAAGTGTTAATCATGGTTTTGAAGCAGTTTATGAATTAACAAAAATGTGTACTATAAGGTACAATCTATATATAATTCATATTTAGGAATATAAATGGTGATAGATAAATTTTTATACATATATATTTGTTGCAGAATGTCATTTGTTAAAGGATGGGGTGCTGAGTATCATAGACAAGATGTTACATCCACTCCTTGTTGGATTGAAGCACACTTACATGGACCTTTACAGTGGTTGGATAAAGTGTTAACACAAATGGGTTCTCCTCATAATGCTATAAGTTCTGTATCATAATTTGTGCTTCATGTTTAATAGCAAGGAGAGAAAATAGTGAAATATAGGAAAAACCTGATGACTCAAGAGCAGTTTTTAATATTACATAGGGCGATAATAAATTAGATATCTTAAGAGATTTATGAAAGTATAATGAGAGTGATAAATGAGAAACTGCTGTTCCAATATGAGACTTTTCTCGTGTGAGCAAAATAAAGTTAATAATATGATTATGAAAATAAAGGATTACAGAAGTTCACAACTATTAAAAGTGATCCTCAATAAAGATTTCAGAAATTACAATGTACACATAAAAGTTGTACAATTTTTTGGCTGTTAAATATCAAAAATATGTGTTACATATATATGAAGAATCATATTTTTCAAATATATTCAATTACACCTAATACTTTATTTTATATGGAAAATTGTTATGAAAATATTTCCTAATGCTATATCACGAATGCTTTATTAAATTGTTTCGAATCTTATACTGAAACCTCTAGTTGAAAGACAAATCAACTACAACTAAAGAAAAGACGATTATTGATCAGTATGCGGGAATGATTCAGGTTTACATTAAATAACATTTTAACATTTACAGTTTTGAATACAATACGCATGCTTCTAAAGCATCTGATTTATGCCTAAATAAACTTTAGACTATTTAAATTTATTACTATAAAGACTATAATCTAAGTGTAATTAATTTCAATTCTACTAATGATAATGCAATTAATATTTCAATATAGACATCAGATGCTGATCTCACGTTGACATTTGAAAGTTAACTGTATCTGATGACATATTGGAATATTAACTTTGATAATGCATATAAAAATATTTTTTGTGCAACGTTCCCTAACATTCGCGTAATGTAAGCCTTTGGATGTAGCCTTATAAGAAACTAATGTGACAACTAACATAGAGTCATCTATTTGCTATTTGTCAGATTTGAGAGTAATATAAGACTTATATGTTAGCTTTGCACTTTTCAGAAGTGTTCACAAATTTTCGGTCTCGACAGAAGCTTATGTATATATAAGAAGTATACTATTATATGGCGTTATGTGCAATTTAAATAATTGGGATTACATTCGGTACAAAACATGAAAATTTTATGAATTGAATTCTGAAAAGTGCCAAAATTGTATGTATATGATGCCTTTCATTTAAACCAAGTCGAAAGTTATTTTTGTTGATCATCAATAGGAAATATAAGTTTTATCAACAGGAAAATATTTACTTAGAAAATGTTCAGTTACGAAAGATACTGCTTGTTTTATATATTTTAATGAATGACATGCGAATTTTATAAAAACAATATTATAATATTGAACGTAAGAACTATGTGTTGTATATATTTGATAATGAGCTGGAAAGGTCATATGAATATTTAGTTGAGATTAAGTAAAATTAAATCATTGGAAAGAGTTAGTTATGCATTGAAAGTTCATTGTAAGCAATGCTCTTGTCTGTGTCTTTCTACGTATTTATAACAGAGCATTCGTTTCGTGATATAGATGTTTATTATATACATCGAGTCTCATCTTGATTTTGCATTAAGGTACACGGGTATTACTGAAGAAGCACAAATCTTGACTTAATGTTACGATCGGAAATACCTGTGATGTATATTCGAATGATCTTCTGGCTTGCTGATAAACTCACGATTATACTTCAAATTATTTTTATGTATATTCTACGTATATTTCAATTATAAGTATGAAGAAAGTATACGGATCATATAACTTCAATTAAGAGTACTTGAGAACTGTGGAACAGATGTCACTGCCGCTTGCTGTTACTTATTTGTCGATGTACCTAGCTGTGATTGTTTGCTACCAAATTTAGCAAATTACGTGTGGGTGATCAACGATAGTAAACGTATTTGCTTTATTGGATCAATGAAGATGAAGATGTGTATTTGAATTTAAAAACATAAATCGTACAAGGAAATATGACAATAACACATGAAAAAAGAGAATACGATCTTTTACACGACGAATAAAAATATTCAATCAAAAGAACATTTATCGTACCACTTACCGTTTTTTCACGATCACCTGTAATACCTATTTAGTTAAAAAAAAAAAAAAAAAAAAGGAAAGAAGAAGGAAAAAGTATTTTTCATCGAAACAACGCTGTAATTGGTATAGATAAAGTCTTCAAATAATGTACACCTGTTGAAAGAGATGTGAATTAATGTTTTAGGTATATCGAGCTTGTAGCACTCGTAACGAGCACAATGCTTTATCGCAATATGTATGTATGAATAGTTACATATGTAACAACTATATTTAGAGCTTCTACTCTTTGTTGGTATCTTTTTTGATCTTTTTTTTTCTTTTGTTAATTGATGCACCGTATATCACAAATCTCGTTTCCAAATCACTTGAGATTGCTTTTTAATTGCTAAGTTTTGCAGAACTGAATAGGAATTTAGTGACTATTACAATTATGCACTATAATGCTAGACTTTATATACTTAAGTACGTACCGCCCAAGTTGTGCCTTGGATGCCTTTTACACAGTATACTTCAGATAAATATTGTAAAATTATGAAATGAAAATTCGCTATAGCGTGTAGTGAAACAAGTGTATTTGCCAAATAGCGCTTACATATTTTTATCGTACGTCATGTGTAAAATCGTATTTCTGCCTGTAATGACAAGTCCTAAATATAAAAATATATTTAATGATATAATAGTTTTAGAAAATGAATATATGTATACATAACTGTATATAAACAGAATTTTGTGATTAGTGAATTGGAAAGAGATTTGTGGTTACTTTAGATGTCAGTCAGTGTAAATAAATTCTTTTAGCTGTAAAAAAACATTTGCAGAATCCATTCCACATTTATCATTTAGACCTGCTAGCTATGGGTCTTCTCTTCAATATTTTCTTTGCGTCTTTTGGGGTGTCAATATCATTGTATATTACTCTAGATGATGATGGTGATAATGAAAAACCTAGCTGTTTATCATAATCAAAGGTACGATATCTTATAAGTTCTGTTACGGAATTGTAAAGATTGTCAACAGAAATTTCGATCGGATATAGTTAAAACACGTTGAAATACATTAATTTCGTTACTCATCGAAACGATATCATTCTCACGTGTAAGAATTTTCGTACATTTTATGATGTAACAACAAATGCTGATTCGTTGTAGCAGTCAACTTTATGATATCGTACAATTCTGTTATCTTTATTAAGATTATGAAATTCTTCAAGAGGGACTTCGTACATGTTAAAATATTATCAGAAAATGTACTATTTCTTCCTCTGTCTATCTTTTCAAACAGAATCGGACTTCGCTCGACGACATAAAAGTTTTCATTTGTACTACTGTATCTGCATTTCTGGTAATTACTGTGTTGTGCAGCTACCGAGTATGAATAAAAAATATTTCCTATCTGTGTATCTATGTGCAACAAAAAACACGGTAGTTTTATTACTTTGAAAATCGATCAATACAATCCGTAATATCCCCGTATTATTCCTAAAATTTTATGTTGCATCTTTGTACATTATAATTTCATTCGAATTAAAACATTAGTATACGATAATTATTACCGACGATCGATGAAGTTACCTAAATTTGAATAGGAAAGAAAAGGGCGGGACTTTTACGCGAGTATTACTATAGGTCAATTCATGCTCGAAAGTCATTGGTCTGTTTATAAAGAGCACGTAATCGGATTCGCTGTTTTTCGTAGAAAGGATAGTTCGAAAGTATTAACGGATATCGTTGCGAGTTTTCCATTACAATGCTGTCACCGGTCTTTAGCATGAAACCTGGTGTGAAAGATAAACAACGAAAATGGATGATTTTGATTTGGTAAGTTAGTTGCATAAAATTTGAAATGTGAAAAAGTGATGCCTGTCCACAATGCTTGTTCTTAATAAATATTTTTGGAAGTAATATATCAACAAAGACGCTATATTTATGGTGTACACGTATATAACATTGGTGGTGTCCATTTCGGAAATAGATACGAATGAGGTAACATCGTAAGTCAAAAAGTCATTAGGTAATCATAATCATTCTTTATTTATCTTTTCCTTGTTTCTATTCCTGTAATTAGCATGTAACCGTATTACAGATCAAATTTCCCTGATTCCCGAGGAACATGTCTCGTTTTCATTGTGGTGGATGGGAAGAGGGAGAGAAAGAGAGGGAGAGTGGAGGGAATTAGAGTAGTCGGCGACAATCGCAGAATGATTTTCGGCGGTGGCGCTTCAGTTGTCATTTCCATTTCCACCGGCGCCACTGCCACCTCGAGTAGTATCTCCGTCACCGGTAATTCCATCCCCTTCTCCATTTCGCGGGTAGCGACGCCTCCACACGGCGCCGATCAATAACGTCGTTCTCGGCGACGCCGGCGTCGGGAGCGTCGCTGCGTGAAGGCATCCGCAAGCAATCGACGTGTCGCCACGAAACTTGTACACGGGTGCGATCGAAAAGGAGCGTCGCGTGAAAAAAGAAAAAACGATTGGGAATGCAACCACTGCATTTATTACCGTTTTGCAGAACGAGCCCTATGTCAAGGAACTGCAGCAGCAACATCCGGACCCGGAACCAGAGTTTTTCGGATTCGAAGAATCTTTAGGATCCACCCACGATACCATGGCTAAGGTGAGTTCTGGTGAAAATAAAGAATTAATAGCTTATCATGTAATTAAAGTGTGCTGTATCGTATAGTTCTTATAATCGTATCCGTTTTAGTTAATTTTAACGAATCTGTATTTAATAATTGGCGAGAAGAACGTGTTATTACTACTCTGTCAACAACTGTTGCTGATTGTTAGAAAAGATCGTTTGCAGTAGAATAACCAAATCAATTGGTTTTCTACTTTAGATTGTGAACAAGTGACCCATGGTAATTAATTGCTGAATTAAAATGTTATCGATACGGTTTCACGATGTATCGACTATGTGGACAGTAGTCGTGGTCTATCTCGGCAGAAAAAGTAGTTTGGCGCCGTCATGATCAGCCGGACTGCGGCACATAGTCGACATTGCTGATGGAGTATGAGGAAAGGACTTATTATTAGCATACAATAACAATCAAAATATTTGCATGCTTACACTGGTAATTTTTTATTAACAATCTTTTCTCTGCGGTTGGAACTTTTTATTCATATATGAAGATTACATGTACGACGGGGAGCATAGTAAATTTATAAATGCGATACGGAGATACACGTGGGACTAATGGTTTCTAATTTTATTCAATTAACAGTATCCAGATACTGATTTATCAATAGATTCAAGTACCGCGCTATATATATATATACACGCATTTATATACAGTTAAATGTATAGAAATAGATGTAACTGTAACAAATGTAATTACAAAAAAAGAGTTTTATTGTTAATCAAGTACAAAATAGTAAGAACCGTAAACACTTATTTATTCGCAGTAGTGCGGAAACCGTGACGATCTGATATAAACATTTACTTGTGCGTTGAAGAAATTTCTTAGCAGTAACCTATTTACAAATGAAACGTGCAACATTATCTCGATTCCATAATATGGGATAGCGCTCGAACCGCGTTTATAATTTTATTTTCTACTTTTTTATGCGACGCCATCGGTTTCAACACAGTGCAGAATATCTATCTACGTGTCACGTTCTTGTAATGCACGGGCGTTCATATAAGCTATGTCATGAATTTTTGTGATCGATGAACAGTGCATACGTGCCTGGTATGGTCAATACACAGTTAATCCTTACAGTCTGTTGAACTTAAAGCATGCCAAAAAGATATGCACATTACAAAGGAACGAAAGCCGAATAAGTTTAAGCGAAACGTATGTAAATAGTTTGGGGTAATAACAATTAACAACGATCAGAATGCATTTATAAATTCATTATGCAACTTTGTACCATGCTCATACTACGTCAGGTTTTCCGGTATTGGAAACGATTTACATCGATCCGTCGATCGATTCGATAGCGATTTTGTAAGGCTATGCCATAATCACGTCCGTCGATCGTTGAACGTCATGTAACCATCATCAAACACGTCAGATGTCTAGATAGAAGAGAAAAGACATGCGAACTGGTTGTAAAAGCGGTGTTTACTGACTGACCCATTATCCGACCAGGTGCTTTCTTCATAAAATTTTCACCGTGTTTAACGGTCCTTTGGAGACGTGCTCGTTTATACGAACCGGTACATGTGCAAATAGACTTTTTCTAACGTGCACCGACTGCAAATTAAGCGATCGCATCGAGACACATTCGAGCGAAAATCGTACGAATCGAATCTCGCGAGTCTGGTCAGCGTGTCCACGAATTTGTTAGACAATCGCAACTAACGCGATTTCGTGCCAACTGTTATCTACGGGGTGTTCATCGTGACGGTCACCACGTGTTACGATGAACACCGTGTAGATAATAGTTGGCACGAAAACGCAGTGAATTGCGGTCAACTGTATTATATTTCTGTCTAGAGGAGCGAGCACTCGTAGATAATATCGGGGTAGCTGAACCGATAATGATCATCGAATTCTATTTTATTTCCGTTCCAACCGTTCCATCCTCATTTGCGATTTTCCACGCGCGTTAAACGTAGACAGGTAACGCGTAAAACCGTTCCTCATAGCGTATCGATGTATCAAAAAGCGAATGTACGGCGTAAATTGCTATTGCGTTTGTAATTAAGAATTATCATAGGAACGACTGTTATTTATTGGATATTTCATCACGATATGATTAGCGATGCAACCGCGAGGAACGATGCGACTGCGACAAATTTGGCGAGAAGAGACGATCGTTGGTTAGACACGAATTTCTCGCGTATATGCGGCATTGCATGAAAATGTACCGACTTGGCCAGTCGGCATGTCGAGGCTAGGGAGAGGCCTTTCAAGGTCCTCGGGGATTTTTACACGGCGGGAAGTAGGAACGGATGTATATAAAGGTCGACGAGGACCGGTCGTGTAGCTATAGAACGAATTCGATCCTAAAATCGATAAACATGTCAGACACAAAGGGATCGTTCGTCGGCATGTAAAACATTTGTACCGTAGAGCACCGTGAAATCCCGGGCTTGCGAAACGCGTCGTGTTCGAATTAATTCCGAACAATCGAAGGTTGATTTTCGCCCGGACGTTTCGCACACTGCGCCGCGAGTCGTATGCGTTTCCACGAAATAAATACTGCCCGTTATGCTACTACGTTTAGATGCTTTTCCGTTACAATGCGCCTCTGTAACTTACGATTATACTTACAACACGTGACTACATTTGCTACATAGTTTCATCAAGCACGTGTGATTCAATGTTATCGCGCGTACAGTGAAAAATAATCGTCGGTGAAAGTTGTCTCTTACGTTTATCTCTCGATTTTATCTAGCATTTCCTTGCGAATTACATTGTTGGAAGAAAAAGCAGAGCGTAGAAATATCCAGGATACCTTGATCGCTCCATAAATAAGAATTTTCCCATTTTCTACGGCTGCCTCGTATCACCGATGGAACTCGGCGTTCTCGGTGCAACCTCGACGAAATGAATTCTATGAGAACGCACCGTTAATTACAAACGTACGATAGAAAAACGTGGAGTGAAGTTCGCAAGTTAAACCGTAGCCTTGTTCTTCTGTTGATGACGTTCACTGTACAGTCCTCGTGTACGTCAGGCACCGTGTGCGCTACGTATACGGATTCACGGGCCGGTGAATGCAGAAACCGTGTGTTTCTGAAGAATAGTAATCGTTGTTGCGGAGTGTCAGTCCACACCGCTCGCGTGGTGAAGGTGTATATGAGGACGGCACGCGTGTATACCTATCTGTTCGCGTATGGTCGTGTATCGGTGTGCGGATGCTCGCGGTGGTGGCATAGGTAGTACCAGGGGATCACCGAGCGAATCCGGAACGTTTCATTGTCGTACACGCGGTTGGCGCATCGCGATCGTGCTGTCGCTATCGATCCGGTCACTTCTCTTTCGTACTTGGAAAACTTTCCCGCGTTTCCCCGCCGAGGGAAATTTCGGTGTCGGGTGGTCGCGCGAGGGCCTCGTTCGTCGTCTTCCGCGATGTAATTCGCCTGGCAAATGCGTCGTATTTACGAATTACTGGAACGGGGTGAATCCTCCTCGTCCCGTGACTCAGTGCACGGAAAGTCGGCTTTATTAATAGTCCTCTAGTGGACTATCCCCGACCAAGTGTTTTTGTGCGGCCAGGGAAAGTGGCGTCGAATCAAATTATGAGGCGGCCAAATAGCCGTGAAGAGGAACGTTGAGGCGATCGTGAGTCGAGCTTCTCTTTCGCGTGACTCTCCACGTTCTCGCTTTTATTCCCGCTTGTGTATCCTACGAATAACCCGATGCAAGCTAGTTAGGTGGTTTGTTGTGTGTTTTGTTTCGCGTGTCGTTGAATTCGGTGTCCCGAGGACGGTGGTTACGCAAGCGAAGATGCGCTAACGGTCGTATGCAGATGTGCTTCGATTGTTCAGCTTTTACAACGAAAGACGACGTAACTGCTCACGACGGTACGTGTACACGTTGTGAACGTAATCCAGGCAATCTGGACGTATTTTTCCGTGTTCGATACATGCCTGATCCGGTGGACCTTCGTCCGTAATCTTATCAAAGCTGTTACCGTTCGAGTAGAATATAAACGCTGCGATCGGGACAATCATCGTCACAGAACACGTTGAAGTTCGCACAGGTGCGGTAATTAATTCTATTCAAATTACGACAAGCCGGAATTATGTGGCTACGGGATCATAACACGCGTCACGTGTGCTTGTCACTTACGTGGTCGCGCACAGTGGATCGAGTAAATTGCAGGCCGACGTTGCCAAACGCTGTCCGCAACTTCGCCTGCTAGCCAGTGAAATTATGCAAAGCCGCAACATTTTTCCTCATCATCTCCCCGTCTCCTTCCTTTCGTTTTTTCTCCTTTTTGTTGCCATTTAATTCGAATTAATGACGACATCCGGCGAACAAGTTAACAACCAAATGCGCAACTGCGTAGCAGCTTATAACTCTAAACGCGGCAGCCTTTTAGAAAGTCTTTCAGCTTGTAGAAAGCGTTTCAAGTATTTTTCATCTCGATGCTGATTTCGCTGATCGGAAACGGGGAAAATGACACTCGAGTAGATTACCGAGCGCATAAGCAGATTTCGAATAGCGAATCGAACCGGTAGTTGGACCGTGTGAACGTTTCTTCTTCCTTTTCTTCGCCGTCTGTTTTCTTCGATGGTGGAGCATTGTGTCTCGTCGCGTCGGTGAGATTTCAAGGATTCACCGTGATTCCGTTAGATCGACAAAAATCTAAGCGAATGTGCTCCTAATTAACACAGTTGCTTCGTCTCGCGTGGCAAGAGATAACGACCGGGTAGGCGGCTCGAATTGGCACAAATTAAGGCCTAATGGAATAAAGTTATGCCCGGGTCTGGCCTTTGCTCGTCATCGACGCTCGTCAACGCGTACACAGGCGTTGATTCCGATTCTCGCCACGTTTCTCCGTGTCGGCGCCGTCATAAAGTCAACACGATATTTAACATACTGTTCGTCTTGTGCGATATATGTATCTGCTCGTTGCCCTCTCTGGCCGTGACATTTTGCTAGATCGATAACAACCGTTTCGCGAATATCGATTGATTCAGGAAAGCAGCGCATTGCAATATCGATGCCGTGTTGTAACCACTAGGAAAAGACGCGTACGTCATACGCGGAGATAGTGACGAAGTTACATTGTATCCGTAACGCGATAACGCATCGTTCTTGTCTAATTTATTCGTGTTCGGATTACTCCACGAAATACTGTCACCCGTTGCTCGACGTGTCGACGTGTGAGAAAGTGAACGTGAAAAGGGACCGAAATGATCCTTTCGATCGGACAATTTACGCGCAGATTTCGCATCGGCGTGTAACGATTCGTAGTAGACTCGCGAGCGATGTAACCCAGTTCTCAGCCGACGACGTCGTTCAACAGGATCGTCGGTGAACGCACTCTGTTACTCTGGTAGCCGGTTCCTTGCTTTCAGTTAGCCATTGGTAATGGTAATACTATTATTAGTAGCGGGCTAATGTAGCTTTTCGTTCTGGCCTGTTACGACCGCTGCATAGCCTAATCTCGCCTGTGCCAGCCTTTATCGGCTCGATCACGAGTAAATACTCCAAGTGCCTGGCATTCAAAGTTTGATAGGAACCTTCGGCTAACGGGCTGTTTGCACGGCACTAGATACACAGAGACATATTATACGAGCGGATTCGCGGCCGAACGATAAACCTAATCGACCACCGAGCAATGTTTTCGTTGGTCGTTAAACAGGTTAAAGGGGAGCGTGTTACGCGTGTTCTTACGACGGCACGAAGACGCGGAGAAACAGGAGACATCGGGTAAAGGTGGCCGCGAAAGAAGTAACGTGGTAGACCAGGGCTAAAATTAAGTTAGCCAACTGCCAGAGAGACACTTCTGATTCACCTCGGGACGAAGGGTTTTATTTGGAGATGGGCCAAGGGCAACGGACTCCCCGTGTTCACCTACGGGTCAAGAATTTCTCTCGACCTTGAAAAATCCGCCATTTTTTCCCGATTTTTCCCGATTTTCCCAGGACCGTTTTAATTGGGCATCATCTTAACCTTTGATGCGTCTCGGAGACACCAGCGTGAACCTACGTCATTGCGGAGCAGTCTTGGTCAGATTTAATTCGATTGCTACAATGCGATTAAGTCTGTCTATATTCAGTTAGCTGAAGCTTCAGGCTATGGAACGATCCAACTAATTAGTGGATAAATGAAGGAATTTGTAACTCTCTCGCTGGAATGTGTATGTCTGTCGACCGGATAAACGGATGCGTGAAGTAGTTGTACGGTAACCCAGTTTTACAGATGCGAATTTATCATTTTGTTGGTATGATTGCAGAACGTAGGGGAGAGTCGGATACCAGTCCCACGCGCGGCACGGCCGTCTTTTTTCCCGAAATCGAGAGTACTTAGTACGCCGACACTTGTACCTGGACATCGACGTTCGTTGGTACTCTCGGGATGTTTGCAGTTCGTCGATGCCGAGGACGAGACCAACAGTCCTAAAAGCAAGTGTGGAACGCGAGCCGTGTCTACACCGTCGATCGAAGGTGATAATAAGAAACCATCGTTTCATGTGCTTACCGTAGAAATAGTTTTCGATGAGAAAATTTAACGACCATGCGTTTTCTTATTTACTCGACAGATTCGGGACACAAGACGTTCACGATATCACCCGTGTGGGATATTGACAAAAATGACGTGCAACAGTTGGTTCATTTTGCCGAAGAGAAGAGCAACTTTTTCAGGTACAGCGTTCTGTTGTTTCCATTATTTCCTACCATATTTCCCGACCTGCTCTTTATCTGTTTGGGTTCAAATTCTGTCAATGACGCAGCTTACTCGTGATCAAAATATTTGCTTTCAGTAATACACGTTCCAACCTTTCGTCCAATAAAATTGCTGGGACGGCTTTTACGAGCATGCACTTTAACCTGACTTCAGTTTTCTATAAAGCAATCGTCGAATAATAGGGATCGTATTTAAAACGCAAATACGCGAGTGCCTGCGAGAGTCAGGTATTGGAAAAATTACCTGTAATTTATCGTTTGAGTCATCGCCGTCATTTACAGACAAATTTTCGTCCCGTCGATCAAAACAAAACATGTATATGGCACCAAGATGGTATCGCTTTGTTTCCATTTCTTATTATATAATAATTTTCTTATCGTTGTATGTACAGTTTGCTCGAGAATTCTCAGTTGAATATGATCGAAGACACCGGTGAGAGCTGCCTCTTGGAATCATCCCTAGGCAATTACAATGATAATACAGTGAACGCAACGCCGCACTATTTGATGCTCAACAAGCAGAATTCGTTTGAACACGACGAAAGTCTCGGTATATTAACTCCCGACCAGATGACCGACTTCACAGTTGCCCTAGAGTGCTCCAGGACACCATCCTGCGAAAATCTTACCGGATCAGCGGGCTCTAGATTGGCGTTAACGCGAGCATCTGCATCGAGACCGTCGGCGGATGTTGAGCCGACCGAAGAAGCTTCCAGCGAGAGAACACCTTCTCCGGAAGAACTTCCGCTTGATCCTAAACCCACGGAGCCTGTCAGAGGCACTGTTCCTATCAGTTTCGTTACATCGGTGACAAGCATCACCAGTCTCGAGGCCGGTTATCAAGGTGACGGTGAAAATTCGAGGCCAGCAAGTCGGGGGGCTGATCCACCATCCGTTGCGCCACCGCCGAATCTTCCAGCTCCTTGTAGGCAAGATCCGATGACGGATTCGGATTTCTTCACGGAAAGCGATGCCGACGCGTATGAGGAAATTGTACGCGGCGACAGAAAGGCTCAGGTAATCGACGGCACTCTCTTCTGCGCACCTGGTGGACGAAGATGCCCGAGTTTTACCGGAGAGGAGATGGATTCGAGTGGAATTTATTCGGATCTCGATAAAAGACAGGACGAGCTTCATGCTCCCGAGGAAGCGGTTGAGGAAAACGAGGATCGTACACCGGATACCATTGATACAGAGGTCGAACAGAGGAGCCAGCCGACACCCATCAAAGCGGACGTTATTATGGATTATTTACAGGCGAGTTTGTTCGATAGTTTTCTATTATATACATATATATATTTATATACATTTTTTGAAATAGCTCGCATAACTAATAATATTTAGGCTCCTGTGAATACTCTGGATGGATCGGCTGATTCTAACGGTTCGGTGAATCCTGTTGAAGTTACGTTGATCGAGGTACAAAGAACCAATGACAATATAAGGTCGAAGACGCAGAACAAGACAGACTCGGTTCCGTTGAAAAAATACAAGATGCCTAAGAGGAACGTTGTCTCAAAAATCAAAGCGATGATCGAATCTGGTCCGAAGGATGAGGCAGAGAAAGAGGCTCGACGTTCGCAAAGATCACCTAGAAAGGGCGGACGATGGGACGCTGTTATGAGTAAAATCGAGGCTGGGAAAAACGAGCAACGGACTAGGTCAGTCAGGAAGGAAGTGAAGTCGAGGGTACTACAGAGTCTCGGTCAACCATCCTCTACGGGATCAACTCAAAAGAAAGCTGGTGATGCAAATAATAACAATAATAAGGATAAGAGGTGAGATACAGATCGTTGACATTTTTACACCTGAAAGCTTTTATTTATATAGCCATGCTAAGAAGTTACGAATTATCAGGAGAATACGTGGCCGTCAAGAAATAAAGTCGCCAATTGAAGAAACTGCCAGAAGCTCTGTTCGTAGCTCCTTGAGTGATCTCAGCACCGGACCTAGCAAGGACGCGCCAAGTAAGTCAACAAATTAACATATGTTTTTAAATGATTGCAAATTAAATTAAAATACAATATATTCACTACTGTTAACGACGTTTCGGTGTTTAACAAAAGGTGCGTAACATGTACTTTAATTTAATTTAATTTGATCAAAGAACCATGTATCGTTTTACTTATGTGCATCTATTTGTTCGTTTATACATTTCACATCCCAAATATATATTTCGATTTACGATTGACAGTGAGGTAGGTTGCGGAATAGTAGTACTCTGAATCGGGACGACAAGACCTTGTGGAGAACGGTGAAGCTTGAATAAATATGACGCCGACTGATTTTGCGATATCGAATTATGTTTGACCGCATACCATATGTTTTGCAAAAAAGAAAAAGGAAAAAACTCGCAACCGCAAAGGTCAAGAAAACCAGTAACCATTTTGCATGATATTAAAAACATTTCAGTCGCCACTTTTTTTTATATCGGTATAACAAATAGAGCTCGAACCGAGAGTGAATTTTTCGTTTAAAAAGTACTACACGTAACGATAATACAGAACGATATCGATAACTCGTAGTAACACGGTCTATCCCTCATTGCAACGGGACACAAAAATACATTAAGACGTTATAAATTATTAAACCCTCATCGCAGATGACAAATAGCCGACCTTGACAATTAGACCCCGAAAAAATCTCTGTTATATCACTACGAACGTGGGGGAAACAAGGCAGATTTCCAAATATCGCATCTCCACCGGGCTTTAACTCGAGAGAAGCGTTGCATCCTTGAAGCTGCCGAGACACAACGGATCAATTTCGGTGTTTAAACACACGTGCCTTTGATTCGTCGCCGAGACGTTCTAGAGCAGACATATCGCGTAGGTGGTTCGTTCCGCATAGAAGGGTGGGAGTAGTCGTAAAAGAGGGCGTAGAAGGGTGTTTTGTATCGACCCGTTCAGAGCATGCGAAACTTAGACGGGAAAAAGAGCGAGGGCGCCGGTGCCCCTCTTCCGGCGCCACTGGACGGTTTCGCTTCCATTGGATGGAAGCAAGGCGCGAGCAGCCGCAGCAGCAGCATCCAGTCGGCAGTCCTCGGCGGACCTCGTGCTCGTTCGGACGCTGTTTATGCACGCGTGTTGCATTTCCGGTCTTCCATCTTTCTCGCTCTTCCTCCCTTTGATCGGTTGGTGCTGCTGTTTCTTCTGTCCCTCTCTCACTCTCGTATCTCTATCCCCCTTTCTCACGATCTCTTACTCTACCCCATTCGGGTCAGCAGTTTTATCGAGGGTATACGCGGAGACTACGTGTGCGCGACAAAAAGGACAGGAGCGAACGCAAGAACGAACAGCCGGTGCATCGTCGTCAGTGAATGCCGCAAGGTGACGGTGCAAAGTGCATCGAAGTTGCGATCGCGTACAACCTCGATCATCCACGAAACTCTATAATTTCTCGAGGTTTCCCCATCGTCTGTTTCTCGTGTCGGTATTTTCGACACCCTTCGACACCCAAGTATATAACACGTAACACCGTGTCAACCGTATTCGCGAACGCGCTCGATCTGACCTGATTTTCTACCCGTGTCACACAAGAGCATTCGCGTTATTTCTCATCCGATAGAAAGAGAACGATCGAAGAGAACAAATCGGGTGTGTACGAGCATCGAAGAGGAGGCTGCTTCTCGAATCAGCAACCCTGTCCTGTGAACGCCTACAATATGTTATTGCACATTCGCTTCGATCGCCAGAGGAATCTGAACCGCAAGACTGAATGCTTTAAGACTGGATTTTACCATCCCCTCTCTGGGACACTCCAATGAAAGTTTCCCAAGATACCGTTACGGAAGGAATCTTTGGCTACGTTCCTGTTTGTACTTGGACAGAGCTAGGCAAGAATAGAAGGATTCAAGGCGATCAGCCTCTTGGTCTAACTCTTCGTATATATTAGCAGCTTCACGACGAAGCTTACGGGTCAACGGCACTAGTGGTTTATTTCCGGCATTGCCTTTCTTCAACTGGCCACCTTATACTTGTGCGTACACGTCCTTCGCTCTACGCTGGTGGTTCTCTAGTGTCCCCACCCTTTTAGACAGGTGCACCCGGCGACCACGTGCGTTCCCAAGGCCGACGACCACCGGTACGCACCCGGTCTGATCTACCACTTACGCAATCACCATCAGAGTCAGATGTTAAACCCACATGGCTGAGGACATCGTTGGTCGCGCCGGTGAAAGATACTCGTTGCACTCCTCGATTCAGGTCGTGGAGCGAACGCGCAACCTGTGATCAAGCCTGCGATCAAACCTGTCCATCGTACTCGTACTCGCATGATTTCACATCGAGTCTCCCGTCGAAACCCTCGTCGAATCCCTCGTCGAATCCCTCGTCGAATCCCTCGTCGAATGTCTCGACTACGACTAAGCTAAGGATCAAACGCGACATTTCGAGAATAACGGTGAAGCGAAAGTGTCGCTGCTCGTGCGAATTGTACTAATTGGTGTCTACCGTGCAGCCAGTAGAGACGTAGCAAATATTCTGGAATAACGCTTCACGAAGATGCCGGGTAGTCGTGGACCTGTACAATGCCAGTGTTTTACGAGCGAGAAATCGACCTGGGTAGCAAGCCTCGCCATGGACACGAAAGACACGACGGGGTGAAGGCGCGCATCTGGTGCCTGTCGATTTCCACCACAGAATGATTTTATTGAGGATGGAAGGGCAGTGAAGCGACGGTGAAAGTAAAGATTTCAAAATGGGGCAGCAAGGATCGAAGGGTAGACCAGCTCTTCGGACGGATTTCGTCAGAGACTCGACGAAAATGCGACTCGGCAGTTTCAAGCGAGGTACGGTCGTATAAATCGAGGTACGGACGTTTAACCCCTCTGAGACGTTCTTCGCGCGTTTCGCCTCAGGACGGAAATACGAATTGGCCAATAAGCCTCTTCTCGTTAATCCTTTAATCTCGTTTCACAAAAGAAAAGGAAAAAGGATGTCCGCGACTATCTACCACTTGTCTTTTTCTTCGTGGTTCATTTAACGCTAGAAAGTTCGAACGACGCGAATACGAGCGACTGGCTCACGGCGTTGCATAGGCATTCAAAAAGGTAGATGGGTCGAACGGTTTCTCTTGAGCGAGTCTAAAACGTTACGGAGAAGGATCAAAGGTACCCTACTTACACACCTTGTCACGGGATTTCTCTTTTACCCTGGTCATCGATCACTGTTGTTTGAAGAATCTTTCAGAAAGTAGTTCGCCTTGTTATATCACACTCGTGCGTTGGTAACTGGCGAAACGCGAACGATTTATGATATATTTCGTAAGCGTGCTTGGGATATGGCGTAGAAATATAATCGCAGCTCGTTTTAATGAATGAAGTAACGGCGCAACGATATCGCGAATAGGAAAGAAACAGGGTGAAGCTTTCGAGTCTCGGAACGAAATCGTAGCGGATTATCGGACATGCTCGAAAAGAATAATTTCTTCGATTTATCGTCGATGTCGATATCGAAGCAAGGTGCAAGGGTATTATCTAGTTATCCGGGCGATATCTGCTATCACGACCGCGTGTGTCGAATATTTGCTCAAGTAGTTTCTTTCGTATGCGAGATCGGCTCGAAATATTATGCACACGGGCTCGTGCAAGCCGTTATATGCAGAAGCTCGTAGGCAACGGCTACGTGCAGCCTGGTGTACATAATAAACGTTTTCTTTTCCTCGTTGGCTTAATCGACGAGCATGGTTCAAACTTAGCTCTTCGTGCGGCCTCGTCCCGCTATATTGCCTCGTCAAGCACGAATTCCGATGATGCGCAAAATGTTATTAAAGTAACTACGACTGACGAGCGAAACGAAATTCCACGGTCGATGAACTATCCGACACGTAATGGTACGAGTTATGGAAACTGCTTGTTTTCGTAATTCCCTGTTATAAATAGGCACGCGAGAACCAAGATGAAATTATCGTTATTCGGTTATTTACATGATATCACGCATTCACTTTTTCATTGTAATTTCAGAGAGATCACCGACATCGGTAAATCCACCGAGAAGACTGGTAGCAAACGGTCGTGGTAGTCAACAGAATCGTGTCAATAGTTTCGACACGAAGAAGAACTGCGTAGAAATTTCGCCCATCAATCTCGGTGAGTGACGGAGGGTCCGGTTTGCGCGCCCTAAATTGTGAGACGAGTTTGCACGTATCGTAGTTCCGCACGTGTGCGTATATGTATATACATAAATGTCTGCTATTCGCTGATTGAACAGAGGAAACGAAAGGTCGAGGGCACCACTGCGTGCTTCCGGTTGGAGACGTAGTGCAACGAAGAGAACGCTTTTTCTCTGAACGCCTGCCTCTATGCAACACGTTCTACTCGTCTGTGTTAACGAGCGAACATATCGACGCGTTCGACACTTTATGTCCGATAGTGAGCTATCTACTTTCATCGTAATGTAGCATTGAAAATATTGGCAGCTGGCCATCTCCGATTTGGCTAATCGATCTATCATGCCTTATCTATCGTTCGTTGATATTCCTGCTCGTTCCTTTGCTGATAATCTCAAATCTTTAAATCTTATCTGATTGATCTATTTTATAAATCAAAAATAACATGTATATCGCTGTATATTTTATTACAACTATTGTTACTAATGTTATTAATACCATAAATTGTTAACAACAATTGAAGAGCACGAGTCATTCGCGATGATACTCGTTCGAGCTCATATTCAAATTTGTATAAAGCCGTATGACGCCGTACCACTGTCGCGATAATTAACCGTGGGCGTAGACCAACGATAATAGCATTGTTTGTCAGTCAGGTCAGAATTGTAACGGTATGCACCCCTTACCGCAATGGTCGGCGCGATTTAACCCCCCGACCGTGTCGAATGCTGCTGAAGTTCCAGCAGTCCTCCCTCGGCTTTAAACGAGAAAACTCCGGCGTGCCACTCAGTCTGATTGTTTGACGGGTCCCGTGCACATCGCTGAAATATCCGGCCTGGGAACATGATTCGTGAACACCTTATTTATAACAGAACTTCGTATTAAGCGATAACGCGACTTGCGAATGTAACCAGCGACCACGTACAGCGATTACGACGAGAAAATAGTTTGTTGAAGACACAAATAGTGCATAGGCCGTACGACCGGATGATCGGGATAAACATGGTTTCTTCGTACTACAGTACATATCATTTTAAATTATTATTTAGTGTGCAACTATTCCTCGCGAGCGAATCTGTTACTTACGCTTGTACGCATGCTCTCTGACGCGCACTTTAAAACGGTTTGCAGCTTACGGTACTTGCAAACTCGATAACACGTCGTTTAAGGCACTGCCGGTGAGTATGTGATGCTCTCGTTAACGTAGCGAATTTTGTTTCCAGAGAAGAGTCCGTCAGCGACGCGGAAGCCGACAATAACGAGGAGATTAACAACTACTGTCCCAGCAAAGCAGCATAGTTCAACAATAAAAGGTACAATGACATTTTCACGCCTTCATCGAACGACGAAGGAAAAACTCTATGGATAATTGGAAATAGCTTTTCACGTTGCTTCAGTGACTGTTTCACCTGGATCTTGACCGATTCGGCATGTCAAATCTCGTAACGAATACCTTAACCATCTTGAGTAACTTATTCCAGTAACTCGATAATCTGTGTACAGTAGAAAGAAGCGCTGTTCGCAGTCTTATCTTCTGAAAAAGATAACACCACGAGGAAACATTGGCAGGTCGTGCTTTCTAATTCATTGACCGCGCTACTCCGACAGTAGCTAGTTTCTAAAAAAGTCCCACGGTCATTTTGCGGTGCGTACGACCGTTTCTCCGCATGCACGAGGACGCACACGTGCGTATCACTCCGTGTTACTCGTCGTTTCGAAGAAAGTCATAGCTTTCACTGGTCCTCCGGACTAAATCCTGCTTCCTATCTTCGCTGAAAGGTGCTGAAAAACCCGGAGGGCATCGCAAAAAACAGGTATCACAGAGAATGAGGATCAAGAGTAGTCGAGCGAAAGTGATTCTTTAAATGGACGGTTTCGATGATAGTTTCGAGAGATTTACATTTTTGCTTTCGACGTGATTTTCTTGTCAACGTTTAGCGCTTGAACTTTTACACGCCTCTACGTTTAATGCGGAGTATATTTATTTGAAAGCTTCCAAGTGCTTCAATTAATCGTTAATTACTATTTCCGATGCATGAACCTTTTTTTGCTCGACGCGCATACATGTTTATCTGGAACAAACTACCGAAGTTGAAGATTACCATCAATGACCATCCGCGTCCTAGAAAACACCGAATTACGGGTCGAGTTTCTACGAGTCACGGTCTTGTACTTCCTTTCATTTTAATTTATTGTTCCATTAATCATTCATGAAGCAATTCACGGTAATATACATCGATAGCCCGGTAAATTGGGGAAATGGATACCCGGGGCTCTCAGCAAACTGATCCGTGTTTAATCCTTGAAAGTATTACGAGGAATACTTTCGAGGAAGTTTCTTCTAAATTTACATAGTTTTATAAGTATCCGATTAATCGAAAATAAGAGTAACGTAGAAAACTTGAAGAAAAAATGACGCGGCTCGGGGGCATCGGTCAAAATATCGATTCTAATATGTCATTACGTTCACGTTACGATATGACGAAACAGGTATTGACGAGTAGAATTAACAATTGTTTGCAAACTCTTCTTAGCGGAAGAGGGCTATCGATCACCGATCATTCGGATCATTATCTTCGAATCACTATATCCATAGACACGTACCTCCGTTTCGTACGAATATAGCTATCTACCACCATGTAAGGGTAACCAATTCCAAATGGTATAGCGAATTTATTCGGAGCACGACGTTTTGTAATAATTCATCGCTCGTTCACCTGGCGATTTTCATCTTCTACAGCCTCACCTTTCTCTATTACTAGAACGAGCTTTTCATCGAAATAGAATTCTAAATTGTCCTCCTTTTCATGTGCCATAAACTTGAACAAATGAGTGATAAATAATAACAGATGCTCTGCAGTTGAATGTTAATTTCTTTTATAACACCTCGATGTAAATTCAGTTTCTTGGAAACCCTTATCCCGAGGAAAAGGAATGAAAGATATTAAAGCAATTATGGAAACGTATGCAGCCATTGTGGGTCATATTCAAGTCGTGTGTACGAAGTGCGTAGAGCGCGTGTCCGGCCAGACACGGCTTTCCGCGTGTCCATCGTCTTCGTATTCTTCGAGGTTGCACCTCGTTTCAAGGTGGTAGGAGTGGTCGACAAGAAGGAAGGAGGGATATATCGCTCCGCGAGGCAGCCTGTGGCTCGTGCTAATTCAGTCGAAGTGCGGACTTGGCCAGCAAATCGTTACAAATTACGATCCCGATTAGGTCTCTCTCATGTTTGTTGCTCCATTATTGTTATTCCATGGTTTCGACTTGTTCCAGTTCACTTGCGTTTTTCAGCTATACCATCGGTTCCGACTGAGCAGGAAAATTCGTTGTGCGACTTTATTCGATTCATGCAATTGAAGAGTACATATGTTTTATTTCAAGAAAAAACTGTGACATGGTCCGAGAGATTGTTTGAACGAAGAACGGACAATTGGAGAGATGTTACGTCGTTAGAGAGATCAGTTCAACCGCGAGATGCGTAGACCGACGTCTAAGTATAAACAAGTGTAGAAATGATAAGTACTCGATATTGCGTAGTCCTGTGCCGAAAATAAGTCCATCCGTTTCGAAGGGTCTTGTAACAGACAATTTAGATGTTCGCGTTAAGGTGATCGTTAAATAGTCATTAGCTACATGGATTTTCCGTGTTTATGGCACAATCGTTGTATAGTTGACCTTAACCCAGTGCGTCTTCATTGACTGGCCCGTGCTCTTGAACGTGTTTTCCACTGGCTGGCTGTTGGATTAAATTCAATCGATTTACCAGCTGCACTTTTTTTTTAGCCTGGTCCAAGGTGCTAAAAAGAATCAGAGTCGTGGTGGTGCGGGGCTGTGGTCGCATCCGCGTGCTTTCACGTATGTACATCAGCAATAATGGGAGGATGAAGCTCGGGTGACGTAGCCAGGCCAAATCGTCGTAACGATTTAATGATCGGTGCATGTGAATTTCCCGCGTGTCACCGCGATAATTGCGTTTTCTCCATAGAACCTCCGCGGCTAAGGGGTCAGTTCGTTGAGTCGAATAGCTGAAATATCCTGAAAAACAGGTAGCTCGACTTTCCAAGACTGGAATAAACGGTTTTCTCTCCTGAAACGAGTTTTCCATACAACTTTCTTCACTCTAGCATCTAAATTTATTCGTATAAGATAACTGGAAGTAGTCGGTTTCGTATGGTATCGGTATGATGCCTGCTTCACCTTTCATCATGATGATCCGATGGACGCCGAAGAATGACCGTGGTCAAAGTTGCTCCTCGTATTGATGACAATGGGATTACTTGATAGAGAAATAAATGTAACGAACCGAATAGTCGTGGCAACTTCTCGGTGGACGAATTGAACTATCTTAGCGACTTTAGCGAGGAATCGTAATGGATGATGGGACCGGTGGCATTGGTTGCAGATCGCGAAACTAAGGAGCACAGTAATAGTTATGTGGTAACAAGAGCGTCCTTAGAGACGAGAGATCAGGCCGCACAAACCGACATACCTTATGATGCACTTCGCGTAAAACAAGCGGAACAAGTTATAGAAGCCCTTTCTATCACCGTACAATATTTGGCCTATGAGGTACTTTTTATACGTTTTACATATATTTCTTTTTTACTGTATCTCTTTACTGTATCACTATTCACGTATTGGAACCAGTTTAATCCCATATTTTAATATTCGTTTTAACTTTCAGTTAGACGCTTTTTCTACTCCAAAACTAAAGAAAGATTGCGAGAACATGAAAAAGGAATGGATGTCTTCGTGCACAGAGATAGAAGAATTGAGGACTAGAAACCTCGGCATTGAAGATAGACTAGAATCAGAGAGGGAGAATCATCGAAAAGCCTTGGACCAGCTTCGTGAAGATCGTAAGCCTTGCCAAGAATTATTTTTGTTTTCTTTTTATTTCTTTTTAGTTCTTCCAGTTTGTTACAATGAGAAGCCAATGTATCCTCCAATACAGACATCGTAACACACGGTTTTTGAAATTCTACAATAATTTCTATTTTTATTATATTTTGATCACAACTCTTTGTTTGTCAACAATGGTACCGATTAATTTTATTCTTTTCAGTGAATTGTAATAAGAACATGTGTACATTATATTTTATACCACGTACTCTGTGCCTGGCACAATGCATTATATGATAATGATATTCTCTTGGTAACAAGCATAATTGTCCTGATGTCGCGGTGAATAGTGGAGCTTTAAAGTAGAGCAATTGTTAATTAAAATCTGCGAGGATGGTATGCCTACGCGCACCTCGGACCGTGCTAAATAATTCAGAGATAGAATTTTCAAAAGTGGCCACACGTACGAACTTCACAAACGCTTAATTTAGTGCCCACGTAACGTTCATCGTAGTTAATTATAGGTTGGCACGTTCGACGGACCTAATCCGTTCTCTCGTTTTCTAACTTTGTTTTTCTTCCGTTTTTCAATTTACCTCCAATGACGTCAATCATGTTAAGAGAAAAATTTGTCTTCGGTTTTCTCAGTGGAAGCTCGACACGCGGAACAAATTGCTACCTTGGAAACGGCCTTGCAAGAGGAAAGACGCATATGTGAAATCAGGTTACGGGATTCCCTAAATGAGGCCGCGAAAGAGCATCGTGCCGCAATCGTGAAATTGCGAGCCGAACAGGAGGCTGAACTGATACGAAAGGAAGGAGAGTTCAAAAGAAGATCTGTCGTTCATGATCAGGGGGCTGCACTCACGGCAGAAGTCGAATCTTTAAGATCGGTGCTAGAGATTAAAAGTCAAGAAAACGCTGCACTGAGATCGGATCTCGATAATATCAGGCGAGAAATCGAGGACAAAGAAGCTTTGCAGCAACGCGCAGATACACTTGAGGCCAGATGCGAGGATCTGAAAGCGCAGCTTCAATGCAAAGAAGCTCTTGAGAGGCAAATATCACACGATAACGAGGTACTACACGAATCGATTCATCAGGTTTCTAAGCAAAACAAGCGTTTGGCACAACGTAATGAGGAACTTCAATGGAGATTGCGTCAAAAAAACGAAGTAGTGACCGTTCTTGCGAACTTGACGCCTAGGCTTTCGCGTTCTTTAGGCCCAGAGCACGTCGAACACCCTCTTTCACCCGACAAGAACGGTCCGCAATCTTCATCCATGGTTAAGTTTATGGTGGAGAAGGGCGATTCAGTTTCATGGACATTGGAAATCGACGATGAATTTTCAAAGGGAGGATCTGATACATCGCCATTGGCAACACCACCCAAAATGGGCAGACAGGAAACAACGACAACAGTATCGAGGCAAGGATCGCTTAGGTTGACGCCTAGAAGGCCTTCCGTGGATATGAGAGCAAGATCCAAGAGTATTTCTGTCACGGATTCCGCACGAGTAGAAGAATCCGCTTGGTCGCCTACGTTTAACTCTACGCCGATTACTCGACGAAGACCTAGAAGCGATCCCTCTTCTTCAGCTTCGTCTACTTCTTCGTCATCTTCTTCTTCTGCGACAGCAGTAACCACGAATTCTGCAGTAGCCGTTGCTGTTGCTGCAGCAGCTGCGGCGGCGGCAGCAGCTGAAGATTGCGGTGCAGGTCAGAGACCCCAAGAAGCAGGTGGCGAAGCAATGATTTCAGAAGAAACGTCTGCCACAAGCAGCGAGGACGAATCGTCCACAAGTAGCGATATTCCTCCATTACCAATACAGTTTGCTTGGGGTAAACCAATTAAGTAACGTTCTCGCGGTCCACTCGCTTAGCACCTAACATTTCAATTGCGAAGGGCTAATATAATTCGATTGGAATAAATTCATTCGGTAATTCCATGATATCTTATGGTAATTACTACAAATATTTCCGAAGATAATATGACACCCTTTTACGAAAATGAACGTTCATACGGTTATTTCAAACGTTGTACGCGCACTTTTTCTATTACTTCTGTACCTGTAACTTATATGTTCGTTCGCGAACAACTGAGAAGTATATCTTTTACCAAAACTACTGAGACAATTTCACTAATATTTTATCACGATCATGTATATTGGTGAAATCGGATGAAGATACAGAAGTTGGTGTTTATTTAAGCATTTAGATTAGAAACGGTGTTTTTATGGTATTGCGATATTTTTTCAAATTGTGACTCTGTGATGCCAGACTTACTATACCGAGTTCTGTATCTTTGCATCGACTCTGCTCTTTCCTTGTTTCAGAGACTTCAGTACACGAGAGATCGCACAATGAGAAGTCGCTTGCTACTATATGTTGTATCGATTTCGTTTTAAATGTATACATATACATAACGTACACATGCGCGCGCATGCACATATATACACACACACGCACACACACACATATATACACACATGTATGTCCTATATATATTTTGTAATTACAAATTATATTTTTTTGCGATCTTAGGTACTAAGAATTTTGTTACATTTTTTCGTTTGTTTTATACAGAAAGTATGAAAATAGAGCGAAATCAAAGCATGTTTTGATCTTTTGTATCTCACTATCGCTATATCCTTTAGATAGAAAAAATGCGCGTAGAAGTTCAATTAATTTCGTTTGAAAATTGTTTGTCAGTTTCAATATAGATGTTACGGGCTACAGGCGATTATGAGCCACGTATTTTTCAGAACCGAATCGAATCGGGTCACTATTTGTTTGATTCGTGACACTTTTACACATGTCCATTTTATAAGGTATGATGCGTTTATATTACGTCTGTACATAAATAACAACGATGTTTATAAATTAATTAGTCTTTATCGCAAATATTGTAAATAGACAACGACCGGCAAATTGATCCTGTCCTCGAAAAAACGTCGATGAGCCATTCACTGTGCTTACTGAAGAAAGCTATTTGTCATTGATATGCAGCTTACCGAACAGTACGATTATTAAGGTTCGTTGCATTAAATGGTTTACTTACCAATGGTTTACTTGGAAGATAATATTAATTAACGTTAAAATTACGATTTTTGTAATGTTAAAATTTATTTTAGCGGTAATACGCTTACGCAAGAATGTATTACATTCATAATACATCTTCGACATAAAAAGAGGAAATTAATAATATTCTTAACGTAAAATATTTTAATTGCCAAATATTGATGAATCGATACATTTATCTGTATCCCTTTTTATGTACAACAGAAAATCTACAGAGACTATGCTATTTCAGGTGCGACTTGTTAACCAACTACTATATAAAAAAATAGTCGGTTGGGTAAAGAGTTGATATTAAAAAAAAGAAAAAAAAAGAAGGAAAAAAGAAACTCCGTTCCATGGACAAGAAGAAAAGTATGTTCGGTAGCAGTAGTGTAGGAATAATTGGAAGGTGTTGAATATAAGAGCAAGCAAGTATTATTCGCCGAGAAGTGTGTTTTCTCTCACTTGTGCTGGCAAATTCTATGTATTATATACCTATCAAATAAATATTATCTGAATTGAAATATAACTTATTAACATCACCATTTCCCATTTTGTAACTAAGCTAGAATTATTCAAAGAAATATCTTATAGTTCTTTAAATATCTATTTAAATATTTTATTTACTAAACAAATTTCTTACTTAAATTGCAACATTGCATTTATGATATATTTCCATATTTATTCAATAATTTTATTTTTAAATATGGAATGCTTTCACATCATGTTGTACAAAATGTGCCGCGAGATGTCGTTTGTATGTGTTTATCTGCAATTTATTTTCTGTTCTCGCGTTGACAAGAAATTCTCTCGAGAACTTTAAATGTATTTTTTGTGACATAGTTCTCTTGTTTGTTAGTTTTATATCCTTATAGCAGTCAACAGAAAAATCAATATAATTAGAAATAGAAGTGCTATAATGCTCAATGCTTCTTTTTAGTTCGTTCTTTTACGAAAGAATAATTTTAAACGATGGAAGGTTCGAAAGTGGCAAAAAGAATAGCACCAGACGATTCCGATGAAAAATTACTCGAACCTACTTTAGTAAGAATTAATAAACGTGGTTGTGCGCCTGATAATATTCACGTGGATAAAAATGAGGTATCATTAAATGCCTCTTCAAATGTTTTCTATTTTGTTAATAACAGGAACTTAAAACTTTTTTAACAGTTTAAAATAGGTCGCGCAAGAGATAATGATGAAATCATTTTGGATACAATGATATCTAGGAGACATTGTATTTTAAGATGCGAAGGAAATGACGAATGGACTATTAAAGATTTTAGTTCTTCTGCTACATTTGTTAATGATGTTCCTCTAACATCTGGTGTCAGTCAGAGACTTTATGACGGGGATATCATACAATTTAGTATATCTGAAGAATTTAAATATATGTTCACTCTTTCTGTTAAAGATGAACATAAAGCTAAAAAGCCTAAGTTAAATGAACAAATATTAGATAATGTTCGTATAGAACAAAAGACATTTGCAGAAAATCAAGAATGTCAGAAAAGAGTTCTTAAAAATAAACTACAAACAAAACAAAAGGAACAGGACAAATTGAAACAGCAATTAGAGCAGCTATTAAAGCAACAAAGTGTCACAAAAGAGGATACTGAAGATCTCAAGAAGCAAATTACAATACTAGAAAGTAAAATAGAACATGGTAATGTTCAAGAGCAGTATTTACAACATATGTATGCTGAATTATTAGAAAAACTGGAAAATGAAAGAATTCAATTTGAAAAAAGATTGAATGATGAAAAACAAAAATGGCAAGAAGCGTTAAATGTAAGTAAACTGGAAAAAGAAATGTTAGAATTGAAAATGAAAGAACAAATGGAAAAATGGAGAGAAGAGCAACAAACTGAATGGAAAAATGTTATGGAGAATAGAGTCAAAGAAGAGAAAAGTATACAAGCCCAATTATTAAATGAAAAGATAGTTTTAGAAGAAAAATTAAAAGAAACAGAAAAAGCTTTGAAAGAGAAAGAAGCTAAAGTAGGGACAATACCGAATAATGGTATAGTTATATAGTATATTTTTCATGATAAAGACATTAAATATTCTATTTAATTATAATAAATTTATTGTTTTTTATAACTAGTTGCAGGAACTTCTGATAATTCCAATGATAGTTGTATATTTTTAGAAATTATGAATGATCCTTCAGAATTTCAAATTGTAGATACAATAGATTTAACAGCTGCTACTCAGCTTACCATGGACACTGAAGGGAAAGAAAGTGTGCTTAATAAAGTTAATGATATAATGGATGAACAGTTAACTTGTAGTATTTGTTCAGAATTATTTGTGAAAGCAACAACATTAAATTGTATGCATACATTTTGTCAACATTGTATAAATTTGTGGAACAAAAAAAGAAAAGAATGTCCAGTGTGTAGAACACCAGTGTCATCAATGAATAGATCAATAGTCCTTGATAATTTTATTGAAAGCATGTTAGAAAATTTACCTATTCGATTTAAAGAAAGAAGAAAAGAACTTGTAGGAGAAAGGAAAGGTAGGTTTACAAATAAATCATTCTTAGATTTATAAAAAAAATATGATTTAAATGACTTTAAAATGTTTTAGAAATGGAGCACAAGAGAAAAATTCATTAAAAAAATTGTCATAGGAAAAAATAAAGTTTAACTTCTTATTGTCATAATTATAATACTCATAATAATAATAATTATAATAATAACTATAATATGTTATATTGATATGTACTCTCTTATTAACTTTTATCAAGCAATGATTATATTTGTTTGTATTAATAACTCTTAAATGTTAGCATTATAAAAATAAGATATAACAGTGAAAATATGTAAAATATGTATGATTTATTTTTGCTATAAACTTTTTAAAAACAAATTCCTTTTTTTATGTAGTAATTTGCGTACATCAATAAATTTAAATCGAAAAAAAATATTATTAAAGGAAGAACAATGCCGCTCTCTGGAGGCGCAATATTAAACGATTATCTGCGCATGCATTTATATAATCGTAATCGTACAAGATTTCATGAAAATCTGCCAGCAATCGTACGTCGACGTGCGCACTTATGAAAACACGACTTTTAGAGAGTTGCGAGTTGTGATACCTAACTATACTGAACGTCGCGTAAATGGCGAAATATATACTACGACACTAGGGTAAAGTGAGATCTTTTTGTGCGGAGGAGTGCTTTATTGGTCCGTTGGTGCGATAAACTTTTCGTGTCGCTAACGGACCAGGCGCGACGTTATTGTTACGTTGTTTTTCACAGTGGAAAACGACACGTCTTTGGAAGGATGGCGACCTGACCCCTTCCGAATAATGGAATACTGTGCACAACGGTACGTTTCTCTGTGTAAGCAGGTCGTATCTACCAAACTATAGATAATTATTTCTTATGCATATTGAATTCATGATGTGCACCTGCACAGCAACTGCTCCTCTGAATTCCCTGAAGGTTACATAGTGTTATTAAGATAGTGTCACGCTTACAGCCGTCGTCATGACAAACTTTTTTCACCTTTCTTCGTACTTTAATGATAAACATAATTTTATAATATCGAATTTATAGCCACGTGTTCTCATTTATTATATTTGCAATTTCATCAATTGTGTTTTATGAATGATTTATGTGGATATTTACATATCCGAATTATTCTAGAAGTTGTGTTTCATTATCCATAAAAAAACTAAGGAGGGAGAATGCTGTCAATGTAATTCTTAATATAGACGTATCATAAGAAGTTTTAAGCATTTATTTTTCTTTCTTTGCATTACTTATTACTTTTTATAAATTAAATATAGTATGTTATATACATATTCTAATGACATTTATTAGCATTATATTTTTAAGTTGAATTAATATTATATTAATATTTATGTATATTTTAACTTATTTTTGTTTTGATTTCAGATTGTTTGTTTGAAATACATTTAATTGGTGCTATAAAACTTACAAGGTAGGTTCTATTATACAACAAACAAATTTGTAAATAAAGGTATATATTTTATGTTGTTTCTTTGTTATCACACAATTAGTAGACATATTTGTTAATTTTATTTAGATAGCAATGAATAATAGGATTTATATGCGTTTGTTATAATAATGATCATTTCTTTCTGTAATTTATATTAAGATGGCTGATGTTGATCCTGAAACTTTATTGGAATGGCTCAGTATGGGCCAAGGTGATGAAAGAGATATGCAGTTAATTGCTTTAGAGCAATTATGCATGTTGTTACTCATGTCTGATAATGTTGACCGATGCTTTGAATGGTATGTTGTATACATTAATATTTATTAATTTAACTATATAAAATTTAACAAGTCTAATTTATATTCTAGCTGTCCTCCACGCACATTTCTTCCTGCATTATGTAGAATTTTTTTGGATGAACTTGCACCAGATAGTGTTTTAGAAGTGACAGCTCGAGCCATTACATATTACTTTGACCTTTCTCCAGAATGTATACGCAGAGTAATAGGAATGGAAGGTGCTGTGAAAGCTATTTGTAGTCGCCTATCTGGAGCTGGCTTAGGTTCCAGAACTAGTAGAGACCTAGCTGAACAATGCATAAAGGTATTGTATTACTTGGTTATTGTCAAATATAATGTTAAAAAATATTAATTTGTGTCATTACCTTAGGCACTAGAACTTGTATGTGCAAGGGAAGCTGGTGCTGTGCTTGAAGCTGGTGGCCTTCCATGTGCTTTATGCTTTATTCGAGAACACGGAGCTCTTGTTCACAGGGACACACTGCATTCAGCAATGGCTGTGGTTACCCGTTTATGTGGGAAAGTGGAACCTCAAGATAAATCTTTATCAGATTGTGTTGAAGCTTTATCAACATTATTAAGACATGAAGATGCACATGTTGCTGATGGAGCACTTCGTTGTTTTGCATCATTGGCTGATAGATTTTCAAGAAGAAACACAGATCCTGCCCCATTGGCCTCACATGGATTAGTTTCTGAACTCTTGTATAGGTATCTCTTTATAATAAATATAATATAAGTATTTATTCCAAGAAAATTAAATACATTACAATCATTGTATTTGTGTTTATCAATAGGTTATCAAATGCAGCTGGGCCTGGTACATCAATAGCAACTACTTCTGGAAATCCAAAAACACCTCCACCTTCTAGTACAGCTTCAACACTTCCTAATCCTGAAGCAAATTCTTGTGCATCTGTTTCTACTATAATTAGTCTTCTATCAACACTTTGTAGGGGATCACCTTCTATAACTCATGACCTTTTACGTTCTGAACTACCAGACGCAATTGAAAAAGCTTTAAAAGGAGATGAACGATGTGCGCTAGATTCCATGAGATTAGTTGATTTATTGTTAGTTTTACTATTCGAAGGAAGATCAGCATTAGGTCGTAATACAAGCGGAGGTCCATCTGGTCCTGTGTTACCACGATTCAGACGTTCAGAAAGCGCTGGAGAAAAATCTCATAGACAACTGATTGATTGTATTCGATCAAAAGATACAGATGCATTAATAGAAGCCATAGACTCTGGAGGCATTGGAGTTAATTTTATGGACGATGTTGGACAAACATTGCTTAATTGGGCGTCTGCTTTCGGAACTCAGGAGATGGTTGAATTTTTGTGTGATAGAGGAGCAGATGTTAATAAAGGTCAAAGATCGTCTAGTCTGCATTATGCTGCTTGCTTCGGAAGGCCAGCTATTGCTAAAGTATTACTTAGGCATGGGGCAAACCCAGACTTACGAGACGAAGATGGGAAAACACCACTAGATAAAGCCAGAGAACGTGTAGATGAAGGGCATAGGGAAGTTGCCGCTATATTACAGTCTCCTGGTGAATGGATGTTACCAAATCAAGAACATAGAAAGCCAGAAACAGAAGCAGAATTTACAGAACCAAAAGGTGATCCTGAAATGGCTCCAATATATTTGAAAAGGTTATTGCCAGTATTTTGTGCAACATTTCAGTCATCTATGTTGCCAAGTGTTAGAAAAGCCAGTTTAAGTTTAATCAGAAAGATGGTGCATTATATTCAACCAGAATTACTTATCGAAACATGTGGTTCTGATAGAATGGGAAGCTGTGGTGCTATGCTTGTAGAAGTAATTGCCAATGTATTGGACAATGAGGTAAACCAACATAACATTTGTTTAATTCTTACTTTTTCTTTTTTAGTTTATATAAATTTTGTAGGCCTTGCAAGATAGATATAAATTAGTATTACGAGATTAATTAATGTTTTAAAATTCTTAGAATTCATGCAGGCAGACAGGCAACCAAACAGACAATGCTAGTGATTTAGTTAAGATTGTTCACAGGAGCTTGAGATAAAAACACCATCACCACCACCTCCGCCTCTCAAGCCGATAATTGGCCCAAAATTACGTTGTCTCGCATCGCGCAAGTCTTCCAGTTCCCTGAACTACATTGTCGATAAGACGGTAACGTCTGTTGTATATTTGCCAATCTCTAATTGAAACGTCCTTTGTGCCCCCTATATGCTATTCGTAAATCCCACTATCTTTTTACTGATCTCATTAATAATTATGCAAAGATTTCATTTATTATTAACATAATGTATTTATGACACATTTCATATAAAGGGTGAGATCTAACAAATATGCGCATGTTTTATACTCCTTTGCTGACAAAATTTTTTGTATAATATCACATTTAAATACCAAAAAACTATTTATAATATAGAGTGGTGATTTTTGAACTATGTGCATTAATATATAGAATCAACGTGCAATTTATTCTTTAGCACAGAATGTGGTATAAGAAGACAATCAGGGTATAAATTTTGTAAATAATAACAGCAAAGGTCACAGATTTTTCAGTGAATGGCCAGTAAAATTGCTATAAACAGGTGTTAATCATGATAGATTAGACACAAAGCTGGTTATCCATTTCTATTGACTGTCTGCCTGCTGCTGATGGGATTAATGGGCATTTGCTTGTGATTTCAATGAATCGCGTAATCGTTTTGCTCATAAATAAATTTGTGCTGTTACATTCGTGCCATACAAAATGACTGAATAAAACAATTATAGATATGTGATATACAAAATTGTGTAGTACTTATTTTATATTAAACTAAGAAAGAAGGACAGGAAATCTTTGTTTGACTTAACTGGACTTTCAATATCAGTAAAAAATCGTATTTAAAACATCTTTATTTTAATCTTAATAGGAGGATGAGGATGGACACTTAGTGGTTTTGCAAATGATACAAGATTTGATGATAAAAGGCAAAGATGAATTTCTAGAACATTTTGCTCGTTTGGGAGTCTTTTCAAAAGTTGCTGCATTAGCTGGACCACAAGAGACTGCTCCAGAACCAGAAGCAGAATCAAATCAATCTGAAGAACAAAGAATGGAAGATGCAAAGGAACTTTTAATTGGAAGAGCTTATCATTGGAGAGATTGGTGTATCTGTAGAGGACGTGATTGCTTATATGTATGGTCTGATGCAGCTGCCTTAGAGCTATCAAATGGAAGTAATGGATGGTTTAGATTTATACTCGACGGGAAATTAGCAACGATGTATTCCAGTGGCAGTCCGGAAGGCGGAACAGATACATCAGGTACGTTATTCTTTCGGTCCTTCTTTTCTTCCTCTTTTT